ATTTTGTTGTTTTGAGCTCTTTTGTGTTTAAAACAATATATACTAATTTTTAAATTATTAAGTTGAATTTTTGTTCAATAAAAATCTTTCAAATGCGACTGTAACTTTTTTTCCCAAAAACTTTGTCTTCAAAATAAGGGTGCATCTTATATTCCAAAAAATACAGTATACATTTCCTTGGCGTTAAACCTAATTAGGAAAAGTTATAATCCCTGCAGGATTAGTTAGAATTTTTGTGAAGGATTGATTAGAAATTTTGCACATTTTGGATCGTAGCAGGAGGCTACAACGGAACATACAGGTAAGGACACACACACACACACATACACCCCTTCCCCCAAACCATTCCAAGTCTACTTGCTGAGTTTGGTCCTGCAAACACCAAACCCATGGGAAGAGTTCATGGACAAACACACAACTTGAATTAATATGTGTAGTATAAAATATCTTAAAAATACTGTTTAAAACAAGTGAATTTAAGATGATATAATTACATAGTAAAATGATTAAAATATTAGTCTTGCATGTTCCTGTCAAGAAGCATAAACTAAGACATTTGTAAAGATGAACATTTTTGAACTCTTACTAACATTGTTACAGTTGATGTGATGTTTTTCCATGGTTGCATCATCTGAGAACTTTGAGATTATCTAATATGATGTTATTTTTGTGTTACTTAATAAAAATCTGAATCAGCTTCAGAGCTAAATTAGGCATATAACTTTTACATTTCTTACTTTATCAGGATGCTAAAAAATCTATTCTGGTCAGGGCTTGAACCCATGACTTTTGGCTTATGCTAGCATTCCAACATTCCAAGAGTAATACTGTACCAACTAAACATTAGTGTTTAAGTTTCAAACAAATACATGTAACCCTTGCACCCTAGCAATTGCAAATGCTCTTATATTTGAAGTCATTTTTTTCTTCAACATGCAGTAAACTAGAAACTAGTGTGGCACCAAGTTCTTGTTAAATGTTTGTTATAAACTGTGACTGCTTTAAAGAAATGTTTGCTGTTCAATGCTTTGAGAGTTTGCATTTTAAATTAAAATTTTTTTAATATATTTCTGATTCATGATAGAAAATAGCTTGTATGGTTTTTGAATTAAGTGATTTGAGTTATAAGTTGGCTTTGAACAAGTACTTGTGTTATATTAACAATATTAATTCCATATGTAGGTCACATTGGCTATTAAGTACAATTGAATATAACAACCTGTATCATCTATTAGCTACCAAAAACTCTTTGGTTTCTTTTGTCATTTTTAACCACTTCTGATAGTCTGTTTATACATATTTTTATTTATTTTTGTGCTATTACTGAAGAAAGAAAGGATCCACTTTCATATACATAAACATTTTGATTTTGAATTTAAAAAGTGATAAATAACTTGTAACATTACATTTGAAAATAATAGTTTATTCTAATTTTGTTTCATATGAGCAATATATATTCTTTATGTATTAAGATAAAATCTTAGATTTTTTATTAGTTAAGACAACATAATACTTGTTTATTTTTGAGTGAGAGTAAGCTTAAAAAATTAGTTTTTAATCTATTAGTATTAAACAATAGGATATTATTTTTGCAAGTTAAACACTTAAATGAGCTATTTAAAAATATTTTCCTTCTTTTCTCTGAAGCTTATAGGTTTAGCAATCTTAGTCATTGGAGTCTGGGCATGGACAGAGAAAGATATTTTCAACAACTTAAGCCGGCTAACAAACATTGCTCTTGACCCTGCTTTCATACTAGTTTTGGTTGGGACTATTACTTTCACAATTGGGTTTACTGGATGCGTAGGAGCTCTTCGGGAGAACACCTGTTTATTAGCAGCAGTAAGGAAGAAATATTTTTACATGACTCAGTTAAAAATTAATAAAATTATTGGCAGGCAAGAGGATTTTACTTCATAGTTATCTTTTCAAATCTTCTGGTTGTTAACTTGCTTTTGTTATAAAGTATGTTTTTACAATAAATATTCTGTTGCTAAAGTTTTATTTCTGACAAGTTGTGTGTCAGAATTTAAAATAAGATATTGAAATAAATGGCTTTTACTTATATTTCTTTAATATAAATATATACTATGTTGTTGTTGTGCTTAGGATTCTTCTACAGTAGGTGTCGGTGACTTGTTCGCGATAAATTCAACAATGAATAAACAGCATACACTTTACTTGTTTTCAAATAATATATATATAATCGGAACAATTTAAACGTATGTACAACAAAGTACTTCACACTATAGAGA